ATGTTAATCTGCATCGTCCATAAAGTCAAATTAGACATTATCGTTAGCACTTTTCACCTTACTATTAGACCAATGTAAACATTAAATGTTTTCGTTTGCTCTGAAGCGCTGTGATCAAATCCCATGGATTAAAAGAAAGATTCCACCAATGAAATGATGACAAGTGTAGCATTCAGTGCTTTAGAAAAATGAAATGTTTCCAAAAATTGCTGCGTTAAGGAGCTTTCTGACATTCAAAATACTTTGCTTTTCTGAGGTTCAACCAAAACATATGGACTATAATTAGCATTTTTCGCCACTTAACAAACATCGAACTCTAGAAAAAACTGTTATCATAATCAAAGAATGGAAGTGATTTTCTAGGTAGAAGTTTGATGCTAGTTTTCTCTGCTTGGACACAGAGCATTTTTTAGCTAGTTTAAATTGAAACTTACTATTAGCCAGTTCCATCACTTTATATTCCCGTGTTTATATTGTAAGCAAAAAGAAAAAACTTTGATAAATCTGATCAGCTGCCTTTATTGCGTTATTTTGATTGATGCTTGCAGTTTGCAATCTTTGCGAGCGTCATGTGATCAGCTCAAGCCTTCGCAACGAATTATTGCATCGTGAACTTCCGCAGCGGGAAATTTTCTCCAATTTTCTGAAATTGTGACTTAGCACTAACGGCAAAGTTATCCGATCATATAGCGTAAAAGACTGGTGAGATCAGTCAGTACTTTGAAGTTTTAAGCTTATCCTTCCTTGGTAAGTAGGGAAGTAACCTAATAAGTTGGGAACACTTGAGGTGAACAGGAGCAGATTACCAATTAATAGCAAATTGATATCTTTTTCCAGAGTTCTCTTTTGCTTTAGGCAAGTAGCTATGTTTTGTACATTCAGGTTCTGCCATGGCACTTGTCCTTCTTATTTCATCCCCAGAATGAACGGCAAAATGCTGAAAGCGAAATTCAAATCTTGTGCTGCATGCGCTCCTCGAGACTACGACGCCGTTGATGTCACATTGGATTGTCCAGGACAAGACCCGCCACAGGTTACAAAGACTATCATAAAAGTACGTAATTACATTCCAGTCCCAAATGCATCCCTCATATCTATGCTATTTCAGATAAAGAAATGCGAATGCATTGATTTGGATTTATCGACGCATTTTCGATTATAGCAGGCTGAAGTATTAGCCGCAGGAGCTGCAGCAGGACATGCTGAAAAATCCAACAATGTGGAGGCATTAAATCTCACAGCACGCTTATATGCCTGTGATAGAACCGCTAAGAGAACATCCAGCATGTTGTTCAGCGCTTCGCTTTCTTGATGGAACAATTTATTCGCCTGCAAAGTGCAGAACACTGTGCTGACCGCCATTGCCATAGCTAGAGCTTTGTAGTCTTGCGTTATGGCCGACTGACCATTTTCGGATGTCACAAATGGGGTATCCCAGCTCTCTTTTTCTCTCTAGGTTTTCCTCTCCCATTCCGCTGATCTCATCTGCCATGCAAGCCACCACGTGACCTTTTTGTCACTCAATTTTCTGTCGTTTTGCATCTTTTTTTTTTGTTTGTTATTTAGCGCTGCACGGTCACGGGTCCAGCATTGATGTACTGTATGTCGTAGAACGGTGCTACACTACTAATGCTTCTCGTTATGTTCTTCGTTGTTTAAGCTATTATACGAGGTTGTAAGAAGTGCAAAATATAATAAATGCCATGACATTTCTAGTTAGTGGGCAACTGCCAAATTAAGGTAGA